CCCGGGGGGGGGGGGAGAACGCACGCGGCAGCTGCGGTCCACCGCGCCACCCACGCCGCCAGCAGTCCCGGCCCCGGGCTCGTCGTTTGTGTTCCCGGGCCAGTTCTACCCCCGCCCCGGCGCCCGGCGCCCGGCCCTCAGTCACACGCACACACACACACACACACACACCGGACAGCGCCCTATGCCCCTGGATGCCTGTGCTCACTTAAAAAACGGGACACCCCCCCTTCGCTGGGGCCCCGTGGCTGGAGGCTAGAACGCACCTCCGGCGGCGGACGGACCCGATGCACAGGCCCAAGCCAGCAGTCGCTTGGGCCGGCGTCCTCTCGGCTCCCCCGCGGGGCAGGGCATGGGACCACTGTCCCGGGCACGCGCGCCCAGCGCGCCCGTCGGGTCGCCAGGCCTGTGCCGTCACGCCGGCACGTGGCCTTCGGCCGCGCTGAGGGGCGCCCGCCAGCCAAGGGGACCCCCGCCCGGGAACATGCGAGGCTGCTGTCCCCCTCCTGCGGGCCCCGCCGTCTGGCGATCGCCCGGGCCCTTGCCTATCATGTGCGCGGCGTGCGGATGATTGCGGCCTGGCCACCTGCGGCGGGAATACTGTTCCAGCCCTGTTGGGATCGCATGCCTGGCGCGCCCCTTCGGCCTGCTGGCACGCATACGTGCGGGCGTATGTCCCGGACTTTTGTGGGCAGGCAACACTGACGGGTGCCCGGTGTCATGGCCTGCTGTGTCTGGCGCTGCAATCCCGCCAGTCGCCTCGCTCGCCCCCCGTGCCCCTTTCCCAAGGCCTTCGGGGGAGAGGGGGGGGGGCGGCCGGCCGGCCGGCCGGGGCAGAGCTCCGGGACAGGGGCCAGGGCGCGGCGCGATCGGCGCCCTCGCCGGCCGATCCTGCTGCCGTGGCGCGCGTGCGCGCGCGCGGGGGCCGCCCCGCATCACCGAACGGCCCTGTGCGTCCCCCCCCCCCCCCCCCCCTTCGCGCCCCCCCCTGCGACCTGGTGGAGACGGGGCGGCGGCTGGTCTCTTCTATTCCTCACGGTCGTGTCTGCGCCTGTTGCCTTGCCGGGCGCTCGCCTGCTGGGGGAGGGGGGCCTGCGAAATACAGGCTCCGCCGGGGTGGGGGGAGGGCGCAGTTTGGACCGCGTCCGTGCGGGCGGGCGCGGAACCCCGCCCAGGGGAGGCCGGCACTCGGCCTTGGTTTTAATTGGCCTGCGCTGCGCCCGAAGCCACCCGGGGGGGGGGGAGGGGGCGCGGAGGGCATGCACGCAGGCCGCCGCAGGGCGTTCCCCCCCTCCATCCTGGCGGGAGCTGGGGCCCGCTTCCAGGGGCACGGTCAGCGGGGCAGAGACCAGCCGGGTCTGTTCCGTGGGGGGGGGGGGGGGCGTCTCGGTGCGCGCACAACGCAGGGCGGCTCAGGTCCGCGCTTCGGAAGAAAAAAACCCTCGAAACTCGAATAATGGCGGCCACAAAATAAGACGGGCAAACATAGCCCCGGGGGCGGGGACGGGGGCAGCGGCTGGTCTCACCCTCCGCACGGGAGCTGGCAAGAGAGAAGGTGCCCTGGCTTGTGCGTGTGTGTATGCGCGGGCGCGTGGCCTCGCGCGATGTCCCTTCTCTTCGGCCGATCTCCCGCCCCGGGCTTAGAGCGTCTTTTAGCCTTGGCCCGCGTCGCCTCTTGCTTCTGTCGGTTCCTCCGTTTTCCTTCGGCCGTGTGGCTTCCTGGGCCCCCAGGGGGCGACCGGCCCCTGGCCAGTGCTCTCTACCACCCAAGCTGAGGCGGCCTTGCCTCGCCCCTTTTTCCGGTTGCCGGAACCCCCCCAGGCCCTCGTCCCTCCCCTTCCCCCGCCCCCCCCCGGGGGGGGGGGGGCGGGGGCGGAGGCGGGGCCGCACAACTATCGTTGGGCTCCTCCGGTGCCCCAACCAAGAGCAGGAGATCTCGTTCGCGCGCGTCCTCTCCTGTTACCCCCCCCCCCCCCCCTCCCCCCCCGCGGCCGCCGAGGCGCCCGCCGGAGGGCTGGGGCAGGGGCGGGGAGGCCGATAGGGAGCGCGGATATCTCCGGTTCACATTGCTTCGCGGGCAGGCAGGAATGGACACATTTGAAACGCCCTGGCCGGTCGCCCTGGCACCCCCCTGCGGCCTTCGGCGGAACCGAGGCCGCGTTTTCCCGCAGGAAAACCCTCCCCTCCCGGGGAGATAGGCCCGCGCCGCGCGTTCCTCCGGCCGGCGCCCCGGGGCCCTGAGACTGGTGTTGAGAGAATACCGCGGCCCGGCTGCCCAGGGCGCGGGAGGGGCGGCAGTTGGTTTTTTCCGGAGCGCACTTTTGTCGTGCACCTGCGCCGGAGCGCTTGCCAGCCAGCCAGCCAGCCGGGCCGGGAGTCCGCGGTGGGGCCGGCTCAGCCCCGGGGCCCAGCCGCTGGTGCCTCGTGCCGGGCCTGGGCGCGTGTCCCCCCCCTCCCCCCCGTGGCACAGAAGCCGGTCCCTTGGCATGTCCTCAGGCGCGGGGTGCCGCACGGAGGAGGGGCCGCCCACCGGCCCGCCTGCCGGAGGAGATCTCTCCAGGGGCGGGGGGAGGGGGGGGGGCCCTGCAGTGCTCTTGTCTGAGTGCCGTGCGTTCTTGCGGCACACATGCGGCGGGCGGCCCCCAGGCATGTCCCTGCCAGCCAATCACTTGGGCGTTCGCGCGGGCGGATTCCCTGTGCTCACCCGCCCCCGGTCCCCCCCCCCCCCTTTTCCTCGCGCGTGCGTCCGTGTGCGTCTCCGCCCCGGGTTTGTGGATGGCGGGGGAGGGAATTGCGCTCCCCGGCCGCGTCGGGCCGGGAGTACCTGCTTCTTTTCCGGCTTCTCTCGGGGTCCATCAGCAGAGAGGGTCGCACCCGGGCCATGGGTAGGGACCGGGGGGGGGGGCGGCGGCGGCGGCGGCCGGTGCCAGGGGGGCGATACGCGCACTCTCTCGCCCCCCCCCGACCCCCACTGGAGCTGGACCGAAGTGAGGTGGCCTCGCCTTCCCCCCTGTTCGGAAGTGAGCCAGAGAACACACACACACACACACAC